CTGCGTCTGTTTCTTCAGAACGTTGTTTTCCTGTTGAACAGCATCGATCTGCGATGGAACCAAAATAATTTTTTTTTTTTTAATTAGCGTTTATTATCGAAAAACAAGAAACTGACTTAAAAAAAACTAAGCTGTTCACTGATAGGCCGACTTTGACCTTGATGACCTTTAGATGTGTGCTAATACCAGCCCATCTTTTTTTAGTTTCTCTTGACCTTTGACCTAAGGTGTGACTAGAAACAGCCTGTTTATCCATCTGTATAAGGCAGTGGGGTGTCAAAAATACGGCCGGCGGGCTAAAACCGGCCCGCTAGGAGGTTCAATCTGGCCCGCCTAATGGGAAATGTTTCCGGTCTTTGTTCTCGTACCTGACCGACCTTGACCTGGACTCCCTGTCTGAGCTGATCCAAGACATCGGAAGACAGCAGGACGTCTTCTCCCAGCTGCTCGGTGCCCTCGTCCAGCTGCCTCTTGTTGGCCCGCGCCGCCTGCAGCGCCACCTCCAATACGATCTTCTCGTTCTGGAGGTACTGGATGCTATCGTCCTTGGCGCGGCCCTCGCCCCGCAGCTCCTCCAGCTGGCTCTCCAGCTCCAGGTAACGGGCCTCCAGCTGGTTGATGGACTGCTCTTTGGTCTGAAGGTTCTCCTGAGTGTTGGTCAGCTGACGCATCAGCTCCAGGTGCTCCCTCTGGAGCAACTGCAGCTGCGCCTCCTTCTGGGAGACGCTCAACTTGGCCTAGGAGAGAGACGGAGCGAGTCAAAAAAAACCAACAACATTCTGGTAGGTGGTGGTGGTTCGTCGGTACCTGCTCCAGCTCCCTCTCCATGGTGCTGGCTGCGGTGGTTAACTGGAGGAGGCGCTCTCGCTCCTCCTCGAACTCCTCCAGCTTGTGCTGCAGGTCCTCTTCCACCATGGACTTTGCGTCCTGGATCTGCTTGTAGGCTGCTTCCTGGGTTAGCATGTCGGCCTACGTCAAACGGTAAGAGAGTTAGAGATACGATACGTGTCATGATACGATATATTGCGATATATTGCGATACTACAGGCACGACGATATA